ATTCTTCTCACATTCGACCGTGATTGGTCAATTTCTTACTCTTACTTCTTACTCTGTGTATTGTAGACGAGCCTTTACATTGGATTCGCTACTGGCCTTACGGTCTCTGCTGTGATTGGTCAATTCACTTACTGCTTGCGTGTTACGGCCTTACGTTCTTGTATGTGTCATGGGTTTAAGTCAGTATGACAAAGGTGCTAAGGAGAATAAACATGGCCGACATGCTATGAAACTGCCTTTTAACTATGTCAAACAAGATAAGATGTATAGGATAATGTGAGATAGAATGTATAAGATAAAATGAAATAGAAATATGTCACTAGTACTATAAATGGCTGCCAAGTCACGCAATTGGTTATAGCGTTTTCGGCCCGGCCAGGTTTGCACTAACCTGGATTGGATTAATGGCGTTTTGTGCTCTCCTATTGGTAGAGCAAGTGATGTCAACCAATAGGAAAGATTAATTCAACCCAGGGGCTCTATTCTTGAAAAGAAACGTATACGAAAATCTAGGGAAATGCTACAGTATACGTTACGTATACTATAGTATTTCCCTAGACATTCGTATACATTTCTTTTCAAGAATAGAGCCCCAGGTTGGTGCAAACCCGATCGGGCCGAAAATGCTATTAGATTGCAACGGCAAATCAGAATGCATACCGGTTGCGCCTCTCTGATAAATCTAGGACTCTAGGATCGACTAGCTGTACTCATCGACATCTAGAATGGACCGCTGATGGCAATGGTGGGGGTAGAAAGACGATTTGAGTGAGAGGCAGGAATAATAAGATCGTTCTTTCTCTGTTTACTGAAGCCTGATTGGTTGTTGTTAATCCAACAGTAGTTAGAAACAACAGTAAACAGAGAAAGAACGATCTTATTATTCCTGCCTCTCACTCTAATCGTCTTTCTACCCCCACCATTGCCATCGGCGGTCCATTCTAGATGTCGATGGCTGTACTACCTAAACTTTAAACGTGTTTTTCTCGAAACACTGATTTTTAAATTGGTGGAAGTTCTGTACAAGTCCTAAATCATGCGATCGATATGATTTATTGGTCTTAAAATGTTCGGAAATACCGCTTCTCTAAAATAGACTAGAATAAAGAGAAAATATTGAAAACTTTTTTTTTATAAATAAATAATTGCAACAATTTTTCGTGAAAAAAATGTCTTTTTTTTGAATGACTATAATTCGGGAAGGCTCCGATTGCACACATCGCATATTGCACACATGTATATCGCTGATTGGCCAATTTAAAAATAAAATAATCTTAAGATCGTCTTTATTCTTTAGTTTTTTTGCGGAAGTACTAGTAAACGACACTTCTGTTTCATTTGTATGTCGATTTCCATAAAATTTTCTTTTCTTAGATTTATGTCCAGGCCGCACACTACTTGCTTTACTTCCTTTCGTATTAACGAACATGATGCAAAACTAAAAAATAATTTTAAATAATCGAAAACTTGAAGAACGTCCTTCCACTTCAGTTTCGAAGTATACTGAAATAAAAATAGAGAGAATGACCTGGCTAACGGTGGTAGAAATATGACAAAAGAATAATAGAGCAGCTGCAAAGACCCAAACAAAAGGGGACGACGCGCAAAAGGCCTTCTGTATAAAAAGTACCGGGAATCGTTAAAAAAAACACAGAATATTTTATTTATTCATCAAAATTTATTTTGTCGCCTTCAAAGTAATCCCCATCGTTTGCAATGCACATGTGAAAACGGCGAAACCAATCTTCCATGCACTTCTGGTAGGCCGATTCTGGTATGGCCTTCAGGACACGCTGCGAATTCCGTTTGATGTCATCAATCGATGAAAAACGAGTACCACGGAGTGGCAATTTCAGTTTCGGGAAAAGAAAGAAGTCGCACGGTGCCAAATCAGGCGAATACGGTGGATGGTCGATAGAATTGACCGAGTTTTTGGCCTTGTAATCGGCCACAATCGTGGCTCTGTGCGCCGACGCATTGTCGTCGTGTAAAATCCACGAATTGTCTCGCCACAATTCGGGCCTTTTTCGCCGGATATTTTCGCGTAAACGCCTCAAGACACTTAAATAATAGTCTTTATTGACTGTTTGGCCCTCGGGGAGAAATTGCCAACCTAAAAAAAAAAAAACATTTTACCGTTACCTCTTCCGCGGTTCATTTAAATGACAATTTTCCGGTACTTTTTATACAGAAGGTAAGCTCCGTCTTCGTGCTCCGAAAGGAGGCTACCTGACTCTTCAACAGGCTGTAACTCGATCAATTTTTCGAATTTTGACTTGAAATTTTTACCACATATTTTTGAAAATACAAATATATAGTACACGTGATGTATACTATAGCATATAGAGTAAAACCTTTCTCGGAGAAGACGTTTTGGAACGTAGCCCTAGTGACTTTAGCGGCATTTTGCGGTTACTGAAAAGAGACCCTCGCGTCCTCTCTTTGGTTTGGTCATGAAGTATTTTGTGATACAAATATACAACTATATATAAAATTATGTATATATATATATATATAATTAAAAATAAATAATATATCATATAATATAATAATGTTATTAATATATTAATTATAATTAGTAATGAAAATACGAAAACTAAAGAAACTATCACTACTGTAGAATCTGATATTTTTGTAGATTTTAATTTATGTGATTATTTCAGTTTTAGAGCATTTCAATTAATTAATTTATAATTAATCAGTAATTCAGTTTTATATACCATGTTGTTAACATATGTATAGAATTATTAATTTTCAGTTTCGATACGTGCAATTATACTATAAATAGAAGTTTTGCTTCATAAATGATTCTGCCAATTAAATTAATTGCTAAATAAATTAATCAGAGTTCGTTCAAAATCCAAGATAATATGTATATTACATGGGAGGATCCCGTTTGTCTACAATTCCGATTGCACACACCATTCATATCAGCTGGTGTCTAGTAATTTTTCACTGCTTTCTCAATGAGAATATTTTATTTTTAAATTAGCCAATTAGCGACGTATGTGTACAACATGCAATGTGTGCAATCGGAGCCTTCCCAATGGCGTTTTGTGCTCTCCTATTGGTAGAGCGGGTGACGTCAACCAATAGGAAGGATTAATCCAACCAAGATTGGTGCAAACCCGATCGGGCCAAAAACGCTATTAGATTCAGAAATTCACAAATGTTTAATGCTAAATACGAATACTTTTTTAGATAAAATTTTAGTTGTTAAAAAAAAATATAAAAAATATAAAAAATATAAAAATGCAAGTATCGTTGCAGCCCAAAAAATAACTTCCACGGTAATTTCACATTTTTCGCGTAAATGTGCTGTATTCACGATCTATAGAAAGATGAATGTTCGATAAGCTCAATGAAAAATCCATTCGGCTTCGTTGTCACTCTCTGTCAATTTTTATGTAACTTTAAATATTATAAATAATGTACGTAAATGGCGCAAGTATGCGTGTCGAAGGAAAGCAAACTGTTCAAGTTTTAGCTGCTCCTTGCAAATTGAACACCATTAATCCTATCGTTAAACATGAACAATCTCAACGAGCAGACAATTCTAGCTTGTACAGAAAAGTAAAAAGGAATATCGTGTAGTATTAAAAAATCTATTATGCAAGATAATAATACGCGAATTTAATTTTTATCTAAGATTTTGGATGAGCCGAAGTGTTCTAGCGGAGACAATTTGTCTTTCCAATCTTCAATAGGCATGATCAATGCGAATGAAGTTCCGCATACATTAAGCGAGACTGAAAATTTAGATATCGGGAAATATGATACATCCACATCTAAAAGCAATATGATTCAACAACTTGAATATGTTTCGTGGAAGTACAAAAATCCATATAGTATTTCTATTACCAATCATATGAATTATCGAAAATCTGGTCACACATTAGGTAAATATAACACCTTCATACGATAACAGTATTACTTCATTACATATTAGTAATCATTATTTATAATTACATATTAGTAATTCATTACATATTAGTAATCATCGATTATTTAATAAAGTCATGATAATCATAATTTGTGGTAATTATGTTAATCAAGTAGTAAGTAATCATTAAATTCCTTTATTTGTTACTTATTCGGATATTACAAATCTTCATGTAATAAAAATTTTGTTTGTAACACCAATTCTTGTGCTAAACACATGTAATTAAAATCTTATATTGATACAATTAAAAAAAAATTTTGATGTAAGTTGACATAATGTGCACATAAGAAATATTTTTTTAAAAGTACAAATCAAACACTAGGTAATCGAATTATGTTGTAACATTGTAGAAAATGTTTTCAAAGAGGACGAGCCCCAGGAAGGAAGAGCAAAACAAAGCATTCTCTCCAATTGTCGAGAGTATTTAGCTACCTATCAGGAATCTTGTGGTACACCACGTACCGAATATTCCTTCGCTGCCTTGATTGTAGTAATGGCTCAGGCTACGGCACGATCTTTGTTGGGACTGATATACATGATCATTAATATTGTTCCTGTTATTCAGGTGATTATATAAGCGCTTTTCTAAATCCTCTATGTCAGCGAATCGAAAGTAAAGGATTAAGCGTGTATCTCTTAAAACATTCCAGATGTTTTCTTTCATATTGAGATTCGTATTAGACAAGATAATCGATATACGAAGAACTAAGAATATTCAGCAAATAGTTGTGAAACTCACAATTTTCATCATACAATTGCTCAGTGTGTACGTTTGCCTTATATTTATACTTGACTTTATCGTTTTGCCAATTGTACACATGGCAATTGGTATTGCAACTAAATTTGTAATGCGCAATTAAAATGCAGCATTATATTGTAAAAGGCGAATAAAATTATGATAGTGTCACCCTTACAGAAATTCTTTAATTGCGATTTAATCTTTCTTTGTACAAATTTATGAGCACACATAACAATCTTTGTTAATCATTTCTTTACAATACCTTATTATATGATAAAATTCCCAAATCAGTTTGAGGACTGACTAGAAGGCAATGAAATTGAGAAAAAGATGCTTAATAAACAGCAGCTAAAATGACTGAAAACACCAAGAAAATAGTGTTCAGCTCGATAGTGCTTGCCATGGCCCATCCACATTCCAGCTCCGTTTTTAATAAATTTGACAATGATACGTTGTTTTTGTTCAGACAGAACGTCTCGCGGATATCGTCATCCCAACCATTGTCCCAACAATTAAATTCGTCGACCTCCTCTCGCTCGAAATTATGGAATTCGTCGTAAGAAATACATTGGTCCTCTTGATATTGTCTGTGCTTCCTTTGCCATATTTCTATCCATCTATGCAAAAAGAAATTATTATTGCTCATTAATCTTAGGAGATCAATTAATATTTTGCAAATCAGCATATAATAAAGAATTAAGTTACAAAAAGAATAAAACAATAAAACTTTATAAATTTTAAAATCAAGTAAAAATATTAATTTGTCTTTTGTATCGCCATATTTTGAAATAATGATATTACAGTTTACTATACGCTTTGTTTCTTTTAAATTTATATTCAATGTTCAAGTCTTTTACTATAACAATTTGATTTTATTGTACCATACCCAATATCGCAATCGCAATTGATATGACTATCCGCTAATCGAAGTTTCATGAGAAACCGCTGGCCTGGTACTCCCGGTTTATAACTGGATGATGGATTATGCAATGATCGTATATCGCTATTGCGGATTTCCACGGTTACATTACGCACACGCTGAGCGTTTCTAAATATTTCTCGCGGCACAATCGCCACGCTGGTATTGTATAAACTGAAGTGAAGATGGGGATTTCGCACACCCTAAAAAGTTACTCAATGTATATTTAATAATAGTTAACATTTTTTAATATAAAATTCATAACTACTAATTATTTTTATTAAAATTTGAATTTTACGATAATATATACAGTTATTACAAATAGTTCTCATAAAAATTAAATAAAATTTAATAAGTTAACTAATTCTGAGTCAAAATTATTTTTATCCAAAGTTAAATTTTCGTTTAAATAAAAAATACAATCATGAAAAAATGCATCAGAGATTTCACAAAAATCTTTTAACTATGAGTTAAAAAACGAAAACTTACGTGTAGTATCTCTGGATGTATAGTCTTCAAAGCTTTACCAGTCAACGTAATGTTGTATAATTTGTAAGGCAATTTCCCTCTCATTTCTTTCTCTAGATTGGTGTCATTTTGAATCTATTACAAATATTATATGTTCAGTAAATCTAATTTTTATACGTACACTATTCATCCAGTACTCACATCAATGAGCAAATGTTTTAAACCGTGGTTATATTTTAGGATGTTGGGAAAGTTGAAATTCTTTATACTATTGTACGCAGTAATGTATAGTTTGCGGAGTTTGGTAGCTTTGCAAAGTGCTCCTGCCTAGAAAAATCGACTCGTGTCTATGACGAGATCTTGCAAAATTTGTGACATGCAAATTCGAAATATAAATACAATCTTACCTCAAAGATTGACAGACTGAGTTTTCGTATATCGAGCTCTTCGAGACTATCAGCCACACCAAGAAAACTAGTATTTGTAATAGCAGTAATGGGATTGTTCGCCAAATTGAAGGTTTTTAATTCCGGTAATGTGTGAGTAATCAAGGGTACCACTGTTAAATCATTATAACTTAAATCTAAATAATGAAGAGATGTAAGATTGGACGACATTTCCGGAGAAATCGATGCCAACCCGTTATATGCCAGATTTAAAGTTTGCAATCGTCTTAGAGGCAACTCTGGAATCTACATTACGTATTACATACTACTGTTTTATACGCTTTTTGCATAATAAAATACTTACAATACTAAACATTTGAAATGCCTATTACGATCGAAGCTGGATCTTCGTTGCTTAAATAATTTAATCTTGAATTACTAATATATACTATATATGTACTTGCATATATACCATATTGTAGGTTTTTCACACACACACACAAACTGCGCGCCGAATTGTTTTTCCGGACTAAATAAACGCAATTAAAACTACTCTAGCAATCGCGAATTAAATTGATAAGCAATTTAATAATTTGATGCTACCATCAAGCATCATGTATTATGAAGATGTTTAAATAATTTAATCTTGAATTACTAATATATACTATATATGTACTTGCATATATACCATATTGTAGTTTTTTCACACACACACACAAACTGCGATTTTATTGCGAAAAATATTACCTCGGCCGGGACTTGAACCTGGATCTCTTGTATTCCATACGAGCGTTCTAAGTCATTAGACCACCGAGGAATATGGTATATATGCAAGTACATATATAGTAATTTTATTGCGAAAAATATTACCTCGGCCGGGACTTGAACCTGGATCTCTTGTATTCCATACGAGCATTCTAAGTCATTAGACCACCGAGGAATATGGTATATATGCAAGTACATATATAGTAAATATCAGTAATTCAAGATTGAATTATTTAAGCAACAAAGATCCAGCTTCGACCGTAATAGGCATTTCAAATTTATAGTATTGATTGTGTTTCTCACATATATACGGTCTAAAATAAAGATATTGTTTAAAATACTTACACTTAAGAGAGAAATATTGCTCAGACCGAGATACAGAAGTTTCCTCTTTAACGAGAATAATATGATCAGTAGGTCAGCCATTAAGTTCATCCTGTCTAAATGGACCAATCTTGAGGACAGGCTGAGGCAGGAAATAATAGAGAAGGAAAAGCTTCAGGCTTTGTACAGGGTGCGGCAGCATAACTTCCTTTTTTCAAAACTTAATAAAACCCATTGTATGAATCAGAACATTTTTATTTGTTTTTTATAATGTAGGCGCATGCCTAAAGTTTTGTTTTACATAGTTTTGAAGATCAAATCAGATAGGTGACGTCCCTCATTCTCCATACATTGAGTAAACCGATTTCTGGTGTTTGTCATGACTTTTGCCAGCATAGCAGGCGTTATGTTGGCAATTTCTTCCTGGATGTTGGTCTTCAAATCTTGTAGAGTCCTTGGACGGTTCACATAAACACGGGATTTCAAAAAACCCCATAGAAAAAAATCACAAGGGGTCAAATCGGGAGAGTGGGCCGGCCACTCCAAATCGCCCCTAATTGAGATGAGGCGCTCTGGGAAGTGTTCCCTCAAAACAGCCATCGATGCTCTTGAAGTGTGTGCCGTTGCACCATCTTGTTGGAACCAAATGTCCCCTAAGTCCAACTCATCTAGCCGTGGAAAAAGAAATTCCTGTAACATGTTTAGATACCGGTCCGAATTCACTGTCACTGTGACTTCATTTTCCTCAAAGAACCAGAGACCAATAATTCCAGCTGAGGAAATTGCACACCACACTGTAACTTTAGATGAATGCAAAGGCATTTGATGCAATTGTCAAGGATTGGTGTCCCAGTAGCGCATGTTTTGTTTGTTGACGGATTCACACAAATGAAAATGGGCTTCATCACTAAAAAAAACAATAGCGTCCTCAGGAACGACTTCGAGAAGAACCTCACACGCGTTCAGACGAGAATTGAAGTCACGTTCAGAAAGTTCATGCGCGATCGCCATCTTGTAAGGATGGAAATGAAGATCATCATGAAGAATTCTCCTCACAGAACGATCGGAAAGTCCAAGGGCAGACGCATGTTTGCGCGCAGAACGCTGTGGTGATCGCAACATTGAAGCTCTCACTGCCTCAATGTTTTCAGGTGATCTAATGGGCCGAGGGACTCCAGTTCTTCGTCTTGTCGCATTTGCAGTTTGTCTGAACGTAGTAACCCACGTAACAATTGATTTCCGATCCGGGACAGGGGCCAACGGGGCTAAATTAAAGCGATTCCGAAAGGCGCGCTGGGTTGCGATCACAGAACATCCGCTCGAAAAGTAGGCCTCAACGGCAAAAGCACGCTCCTCATTGTTCCAACGCATGATGGCGACTGAACTGTGTCGACACAAAACTTTATAGCCCCGCCTCTCGAACGAGGGTGGAGTCCCATGAAGCGTGTTTGCCGCGTATCGCGTAACCGCGTAACCAATCAATAATCAGTAAAACGCGAAACCACAACAGCGGATCGCTTCTGATTGGTTACGCGGTTACGCGATACGCGATAAATACACCTCATGGGAATCCAGCCTGAGACCACTAGCGCTCCGCTACGACATCAACCCACTGAATGGCGCGCATTTTAAAAAAGGAAGTTATGCTGTCGCACCCTATATATATATAATCTATAATATAATTACTTAGCAGTAAACAATTAAACGACATAGTTAATAAAAAACAATTAGCTATCTTAGAGTTCTCAGAGTAATAAACTTACTCTAAGTCTGAATATCGTGTCGGTGGTGTGAATCCCCGATAGAATGTTCCAAGACATATCCAAATTTGCCAAATTTGCAGTGGAAGTCACTGACATACTTTTGACGGGCAGTCTCGTGAATTGATTGTGCGAGAGATCAAGACTCTCTATATCAGAGTCAGTAAACATGTTGTCTGGCAGTGTTCTCAGTTTGTTATGAGACAAATCCACGATGCGCAGTTTCTTCAAGGATCTTAGAGTCTCCGCTGGGATGTCCGTGATTTCGTTCCAGGAGAAAAGTAACACTTGCAAGTTGTTCGTGTTCTTCAAGCAATCAAAATATATTTCTATCAGCTCATTATGTCTCAGGTCGAGCCATTGCAAGTGAGCCATATTGCCAAAGACATCCTGAGTGATGTTTCTTAATTGATTGTTTGACAGATACAGATGAGTGAGTGAGTACTCGACCGGCTTGAAATAATATTTCGCAATATCGGAGATATTATTGTAACTCAAATCCAGAACTTTGATGTTCGATTGCACATTACCACCAACTAAAAGTAGAAATGTGGAAATTAAGAATATCAGTTTAAAAATAATGATAGCTATAAATAAAATCAGTTTAATAAATAAAGAAAAGTAAATAATATTAAATAGTTTAAATAAAATAAAACAAAACGAATGATTCAAAATTAAATTTTATATTCATTATTTATAATTTCTAAATCAAAAAGTTAATATTTCTTTTGAAATTTATTAAACATGAAGACTGTAAACTCACCGACAGATGAAGGTGTGAAAGAGGTGCTATTTACCCATAATCTTGAAATTTCATTATGACTAACGTTGACTTTGAATGATGATAATGTACCCACTTGATCGAATGAGGCGAAGTCAAATTCATTAAGATTGTTATATGCGAGATCAAGAAACTCAAGATCTGGTAAATTCTAAAACAGTATATTCATCAATAATGTATATTATTATAAAAGTATTCTTTTCAAACCATTAATTTATCACTGAATTTTTATTTAGAACGAATACAAAATAATTAACGTTTAGAATTATTTTTTAATAAAAATTATAATTTTAATTGCATTAATATTTAAAAATCCAAATGGCAGAATCTTTATTTTTAATTAATTCTAAATTGGTTTTAATTTAACAAAGATTTAGCCTGTATGCATGTATTAAATTACTTGAAAGGCTTCATCGGTGATGTCTCTAATCTTGTTGCCGCGCAGATTGATATATTTAAGTCGGTTCATATTTATAAAGGCTCGTCTTTCGATCCTCTCGATGGTATTGTCCTCCAGATTAATTGTCATTAAAGCCGACAAATCAATGAATGTATGAGTTTGCAAATCCCTCACTTGATTAAAAGCGAAGTTGATTTCTTCTAGCGTTGAATGGATTTCACCCTAATTAAATAATTTTTTGTCATATAAGATACATGTCATATAAAGCAACTTACCTGAAAGGTACCCTTCAGTATACTATCAATTTCATTATCCTGAAGCTCAATGCGTTTTATCCTATTTAAAAAATGAAAAGATGTAGCAGATAAAGATCGTATCTTGTTATTGCTAAGGTCAAGATGCTGCAAATTCCTTAACGATTTAAATGGCCGATTTGGTATTTCAGAAATTGAGGAGGAGAGACCATGAGACATCCTTAATGTTAAAAGAGAATAGCCCACCTATATGTAAAGTTTCAAAAAAAAATTAGGCAACTTTGTATTGTTTATATAATTTTCTTATTACACATAGTAACATTTAGGTCGGTATTCATAGTTGATTCTTATATTTAAGACCAAGTTAAGCATGGTGACATCTTAAGATGTCATAAGCCAGAGCCAGAGCCGTATTGCATTTTAAGACATTAATTAAAACGATCTTAAAATAAGAATTAATTATGAACACCGGTCTTAATGTCACAAATTAACTTTTATAAAGATTTAATGCCTCTAACTTACTCCTATAGCACAAAGTTGCACAAAAGTTGCAGCAACACTGCTGCAACATTGCAGCACCATTGCATGTTGCAGCAATATTGCAGAGATTTTGCAGCGATATTGCTGCAAATTCTGTGCTGTATGGGATATTAAGTTCAAGCTAAGAAAATTTAATAAGCGGAATAAAAAAATTTACCTCCGAAAAAGCATCATCATCTATAGTCGATATCGAGTTTTCAGAAAAATCAAGATACTTGATTCCGCGAACGTGCATGAAAGCGTGATTTTTGATCGTGTTCAGATTACTATTAATTATCCGTAATTCTTTGATGTCCATACCAAATTCTAGAAAATCATTCGCCGATAAGATTGCCTGTGGCATTCGGGAGATCGAGAGGAAACGCAAATTTCTCATTTGTCGTAGGTCTTGAAGGGAAATCATGCCGTTCTGCTTGCCGCTGAGATCCAAATTATACAAATATTGGAAGCCACTAAAAACTTCAGCTGAAAGTACACATCGTGAGGATCATGCTTGTTTTGTGTCCACCAATTGCAAAAAATATGCGCTATTTACTTGGCGAAAATGTGTTGATACGATTCTCGCGGAAGATAAGCGTATGCAGGAGATCGAATTCTTGAAATAGACGATTAGGAAGCATAGTTATATTATTTCCTGACACGTCCAATAACTCGAGCGACGATTCCAAGCCGGCTAAGTTGGCCGAGTTGATCTCCAGCAAATCGCAATCGCTCAAATATAGCTCACGAATGCGTGAATCTTTGAACGTACCCTCCTTTAATTGCAAATATTCGATATATATAACTATCAATGCTATTATTCAATAGATACTATCTATCAATATAAGATCTTAATTTCTTAGGTATTTCTAAATATTCTTTCTCAACTTTTCGTGATGTGTTTAATTTAAATCTTATCAAATTATATATAATTTTTATCATCACCTCGATAGTCATCAAGGGATTGCCTCTAAGATATGTGCGGTTGACCTTGTAAAAATGTTGAAAATCACCGGATGCGAGAGTTTTTATCTGATTATAATCCAGTTGCAACACATCCAAAGACATCTGTATACCCCTGACCTCCGGTTCCTGTTGAGCGTGCAGCATTTTTGATATCTTGTTGTAACTGAGATCAAGGACCTTCATACGTTTTAATGAAAATAATTGGATATACGGCACGTATGTCAGTTGATTGTCATTCAAATAAAAGTGTGTCAGGTGAGCCATCCCATCTCTGAATACCGAAGGATCGATCTCTTTCAAACTATTTTCTCGAAGATCAAGGATCTCTAAATACGTGAGACTAACGAAGGCATCGGCTGGCAATTTCTCAATCGCATTTTTCCCCAAACGTAGAGTTTGTAAAGAGTTCTCCAAACCACGCCAATTCTTCGGCACAATGCGAGATATCTTGTTGCCTCCATACAAAATTATGCATGTGATAATATTACACTTTTCAACTTATGTTACATAAATTTTTCTGTATAATATTTTTAAAGCTATTACAAATAATAATATAGCTATTATAAATAGTAATACTCTCTTGTATTCAATTTAAATAAATATTCTGATTAATTTCTCTCTTATCATTAGATGCTAAGAAATTCAATACATTTTTATTTAAACTTAATCAATTAAGATTATATGTAAAATTATTACTAGAGCCTGGATTAAAGTTCCGAGATCGTGTCAACTGTAGCTAGTTATACCCACTACACCTCATTCTCCAGCGTCGTGGCGTTGTCCCTCGCCACGGCTTTGGGCGAGTGGCAGTAGGGAGAATCGTGAAGAACTCGCTACGGTTGACTCGAATCGATACGTCGGTCGGTGGATAATCCGGACTCTTAATTATTACAAACTTTAGTAATCTTCTATATGACATCATGCTTTTAGATTATAAGTGTCAATAGATTTTTCAAAACTATAATTTGGTACAATTATATTTGATTTATTTCGGTAAAAGCGATAGCGAATACCTGTGAGTTCGAGAACTTCCAGTTTTTGTAAATGTCTAAATGATTTGCTCGGTATGTTTGCGAGTTGATTGTAGGACAAGTCGAGCATCGATAATGATCTTTCAAGACCTAGAAAGGCTTCTTCCGGAATATCCGCCAGAGGATTATGCTTAATCTGTAGTTGGTAGAGACCTAAAATATATAAAACATTACATTATTTTGGAAAAAAACATCACGTATTCTTTACATGTGGGTCAAATTTTTACAACTAAAAATACATTTAATATTTTAAATAATAATAAAACATTTATTTCAATGTTATTTTAAAAAATAAAAAATCCATGCGTATAAATATTTTATTAAAGTAAAAATGCTGCTTTTAAATTATGTAAAAATATGATTTGTAATGAAAATTGAAAAAAAAAAGATAACACTAGATAAGATATGTAATCTGTGATTCTTCATTCCATCGTAATATTAATTAGTTCAATCAAATACCAGTATTCATAAGATACTGTGGCTGCAGAAATCTCAGCCCGTTGTTCTCCAGTTGCAGCATATACATTTTAGATGAATTAATCGCCTGCGGTATTCGTGGCATCGGTACACTGTAACACGCCACTCTGCCAAGATCCGGCATGGCTTTCGAACAAGTGCAAAGCGGATTAAAGAAACACGGTGGATAGTGGACCGGTAGCTCGTGCATCCGCGCCATGGACGCCCACATCATCAGCAACAGGGTGATCACCAGCATAGCGTACGCGACCTTCACCAAAGTAAAGAGCTTCTGCAATTTCATCGATTCCGCATATTGGATTCGTTTCGAAGGTGACATCGTGTAGGAACAGAAACTCTTTCTTGTTATAAGTAAAACCTCTATCCAAATATACGTAAAGTTCTCCAAACATTAATAATTATTTAAAAATAATACGATGAGTAAATGTATTGACACGCGTTGCCTCAATATTATACGAATTATTAGAAATACCTGTAATTTGCACAATTAATCACATTAAACAAATCATTATTACAATTATCATTATCATTTTGAATGCTTGAAGATTGGGTTTCTAAGCGTCAGTTCACGTCAAACATTGTGTGTATAATTTTAATTATTATAATTATTCAATTGTGACAATCTATCATAACTTTGCCATCCATTTCACTTTTCTTGCTTCGAAAGTTCAATAAACTTTCCTTATATAAAAATCTTATTGTGTTTTTATAATCTCTCATACAAGAAAGATATCATCCTTTTAAACTCTCAAAACAATACACTTTATCTCCTTGTTTTTAATAATGATTATTCCTTATGCAAAGTACTGCCGAAGTCTTCAATAGTTGTACTATGATTAATGAAGGCTACATTCGCAGACGAGTTATAAATAGGAATTTTACCATGCTCTTTTATATTGTCCTCTGCTTCTTTCCGTATATTGTATTCCTTCGCCAACATCGAACAACAAACACTAACTGATCATACGCGGTGGTCAGACACATTCGATCGCCGTTGTTCGCGCGATAGGGCTTCGCGTGCACGCTGACAGTCCCAGTGCTTCTCTTTACCCAATTATGAACATTATATTCCATTAGACAGCGATCGAATAAAATTGTGCGCATAATGTCATTTAAAAATCCACTCGTTGATGTCTGTAAGTATATTTAAACCGCACAATCAGAATAACAGTTTCGCGACCACTACGATAGCATTCAATTTTGACATTCCGATATTATTTCGAATTTTTGCATAAAAGCTTCAATTTCACCTTTTTCATTTAGATATAGCAGCGCAGTGATATAAGAATGGATAGGAGATTGATAGAAAGTATCGTAGTTAAAACAG